TTGGCGTGTGGGCGCACAATGGCGAGGTGCGCACGGCGCGGCTGCTGAGCGAGCGCGACGCGGCCCGGCACCGGCTGCTGGTGCTGGTCAGGGACCATGGCGAGCCCGCGCTGTCGGCCAGCGTCACGCTGCACGTGCTGCTGGTGGACGGCTTCTCGCAGCCCCACCTGCCGCTGCCCGAAGCGGCGGCCGACCCGGCGCCGGCCGACCCGCTGACCGTGCACCTGGTCATCGCGCTGGCGGCGGTGTCGTCGCTGTTCCTGTTCTCGGTGCTGGCGTTCATCGCGGTGCGGCTGTGCAGGCGGAGCAGGGCCGCCTGGGTGGGTGGCTGTTCGGTGCCCGAGGGCCCCTTTCCGGGCCGCCTGGTGGACGTCAGCGGCACCGGGACCCTGTCCCAGAGCTACCAGTATGAGGTGTGTCTGACGGGAGGCTCAGGGACCAGCGAGTTCAAGTTTCTGAAGCCGATTATGCCCAATTCCCAGGGCCAGTACGCTGGGGCAGAAGTAGAAGAAAACCCTGACTCCAAGAATGACTTTAGTTTTAGTATTCAGTGACCATAATTGTTTATCTTATTCCAGCTACTTCAATTGGTAAATTCAAGGTGATGACTTATTTTTGGCACCTATTATGAATTTTTATATTATACTAAGCTTCCTTGCAAATTCTTACATTATTCCTTTCTTTTAAATAATGGTATCTTATCATTTCTTCATTACTATAAAAGATGAGTGGTCCTAAAACTTGCCTCTCAAAAACTGATGAAGTTAATAATTGTACAAATCTTTGTTTCTGGGATAACTTTAGAATGTATTAGGAAACAACAGTGAAACGTTAATTCTATATATATATAATTGACTGTGTTTTCTTGAGATTTTTTTGTTTTTATTAGTTTTTTTTATTGGTTATATAAGAGAAGTAATGCACTAACACTCACGGGGAAGTATGCCTAACCAGGAAGGAAAGAGAACTGGCACCATGAGAATTTGGCTCATTTTATCCTGCTCTACTAGTACTATCTTTGATATTGTTTTCTCTTAAAATGTTATATTTACTATGCTTCCTTTCATTAATATACCTCCGTTAGTTTTAATTTCATTATTTTAATTACTTTTCATTTTGTTTTATTGATGTTCAAAGGAGAGGGAAAGCCACGCAGTGTTTATCCAGTGAGATGAAATAGCAAAGCAGCAAATTTGGCTTTTCTCATTTGAGAAACATTGAGTAGCCATGACAAAAAAATACACTGGCCAGCCAATATCCATTCATTTTGTCTAGTTTCTAACAGATCCTAAATTCCACTTAGGACATTAGTTTGCTTATTCAAAAGAATACATTTGGCCAACCTCCTTGGCAGGTACAATGGAGCATTTGACGAGGTTTTAGTCAATGAGATGTATATACAAATGTTGTAGAAGACTTGTAAGAAAGCTGTTTAAAGGAAGATGAGTCATTTGGGAAGGGGTCCCTTTTGTCCTCCTCTAGTCCTTGCATCTTAGAATGCGTAAGTCATGGTTGGAACACAGTCAGCCATGTTGGATCATAAAGCAACAATAAGAATGGAAATAATGAATGAAGACAGTCAGTATAGAATAAACTTTAAGGAGATGAGGGTCCCTGATGATCACAGAGCCATTATGTCATCCTTGGAATGCCTGCTTCTGAACTTTTTTTTTTACTTGAGAAATAAAGGCACTTCTATCTCATTTAAGCTACCATCATCATTTTAGTTTTGTGGTACCTCCAGTGAAATCCAACCCTAATGCTTTAACATTAAGATTTTTCATTAAAACATTATATAATAAGTTTTATTATATAAATAAATATACGCACAGATATTAATTGTATAGTCTGAGCTAACCGATCTGTTTTAGGTTCTTAATTTTGAATTTTAATTTAATTAAAAGTAACGTATAGAGTGCTTTACACGAATTATCTTTTTAATCTTCTACCAAACCTTAAGGCATTTGGCATATTGTCCCCTCCTTTACATATGAGAAGCTGAAGCTAAGAAAAGTTAAGTAACTTGGTCACAAGTCTGAGTAATAAAAGAAAAATTTTTAAATATATTCTAAGTCTACTTGAATTGAATGCCCCAGTTTTTAACCCATGTGTTATATATAATGGCAGGGGTTTACT